GAATTTAAAGGACTTGAGTTTTTGTCACCGTATGATTACAATATAATTACAAATTTGATCTCAGGTGCAGAGAAAGTTTTTAAAGATATACTTCATAATAATTCCTGTCCTCCTAGAAAAACTCACCTGTTAGGAACCAATGCTTGCAAAAATTTTCTGTACAAAAATGTCTCATGAGGGTTGTGTATTGTTTAAATATTTAACAATATTTTTGTCTATATCAGTGCAAAAATTAAAAGTTTAGCATCACTAATCTGAAAATCCAAAATCTAGTGGGCTTCAAAATTTTGAATGCTCACACATTTCAGATGTTTGAATTAGTGTTTTTTTAAACCAGTAATGTCTGTGTGAATGGTACAAAATAAAAAAGTTAAAAAATAAAATAAAACTTTACTCAAGTAAAAAAATATAAAATGCTTATATTTCCAAGCTGTTTCATTAAGTGATACTCAGTCTATACACAAAAGTTTGAGAGATTTTTACTGGCTGTTTTTCATGCAAAACAAACCATGTTGCCTACTTTCCAGTATTGATTTGCTTTTTTCTAGTCTTCGGTTTTATTCCCTTTCTAATAAGTTGTTGAACTCCCACTCTATATTTTCATTATTTAAAGTCAATACCAGATTTTACCCAATTCAACAGCATACCAACAGAATAGAGTATAGCACTAGATAATTAAATGAGTAAATGAAAATTTGGAAAAATTGTGAAGTTTTGAAATTTGCGTAGTCTAAATTATAGTAGTTTAAAACCTCGATTTTCTTTATTTTTACCCTTATATTTTATAGATAAGTAATTTGTGTAGTTTTAAAAGTTTCAAACTAAACACTAGTTTGATATTTTTTATATTAGGTTTGAAAAGTTATGTATTTAGTTCCTTTTTAGTAAATGGTTTTAAGAGTTCTTATGATTTGAATTAAATGGTTTACCTCAATGGTATGACAAATGTACCTTTTTAGCAAAATTAACACAGTATAAACACTGTCTACAATGAGTTACTATTTTTTTGTTTGAGGCAGTGTCCTATGATGTAGCCCTGGCTTGTTTCCAACTAAATCCTCCTGTTTCTGCCTGCCAAGTAGTGAGATTACAGGCATATGCCACTATGCCTGGATTACAAAGTTATTCTAGATAATAAAAAGGTACTTTAGTTTCTTTGTAACAGATACCTACTTTACAAATAAAATAATTTTATAAGTAGGTCCTTATTAGTACCTTAGAAATTGTTTGTATTGGGTAAAATATAGATCTAGGCTAGTATTAAGTTACATTCTGTAATTATAGTATAGAAAATGCCAAAACATCTTACATATTTAAGTGAGAAGACTTTTAATAAGGAATTTATAGAAACATTATTTGTGTACTCATAATTCCCTGAGAATTTTAATTTCTTAGATATGTCATCGAGAAAAACTACTTTCTAGTTTTCTGGATGTGATGCTTAAATTTTTTTTATATTCGCCTCCATTCATTGAAGAGAGAAGCTTCTTTGATTACACCTGAGCATAGTATTTGTCTGTGGGTCTACAGTGACTATACCAGTTTATACTCCTACCAACAATGAAGAAAGGTTCCTCTTCCCCACATCCTTGCCACCATTAGTTGTCATTTGATTTCTTTGTGATTGCCATTTTGAGTGCGTTGAAATGGAATCTCAGAGTAGTTTTAATTTGTATTTCCCTAATGGCAAAGTATGTCTGTTAGCCATTTTTATTTCTTCTTTTGATAATTCTGTGTTCAGACTGTTCTAGTTTCAATTCTAGATATTTGTACGGCAGCTAGAAACCATGACAAATTAGCTAAGTAATAGTAGTAAGTCCCCATCCAGGGCCTATGTCTGTCCTTCTCAGCCATGGCTTTTTACAATGAGGTATCCATTGGCAGAAATGAATTCTCTCTTGTGGAGTGGGCCTCATATCCTATGAGAGAGTGGTTGGTTACCTCCATGACATTCATCCTACTGTTGGACCTGTGGGCACATCTTGTCTGGCAGGTTGGTAAGATGCTTTTTTTCCTCCACCACCTTGCATAGCACCTTTTAGCACTATGAAAGCTAACCAGCAGGCAGGAAGCTCCAAGTTCAGTTCCAACTTGGTTTTTCTGTATCTTGTAATCAGAGTGTATGGTGTCTTTGGCAATAGGCTCTTAATCTAGTTCTTCTGGACAACCAAGAGGAATGGCAAGAGCCTATATTGTTTGGGGGCCTCTAGGACCTTACTGACCAACAGCTCAAAAGGTGGTATCTCATTTTTGTCTAATAACTCATAGTTTTTAGGAAGTATATTGTCCAGTCCTGCAGGATAATTCCTTTCTAACTCACCGTCTCTCTCTCTTGTTTTAGCTTACTAATTAATAGTTCTTCATAGGGCTTTTTAATAAACACTTCATTTTAGGTTAACCACCCCCCCCTTCCTCTCCATCTCCTCTCACCAAATGTGCTTAAACTTTCCATCCCTGGTATCCCCTCTCTGTTTTCGTATTGGCTATGTTCTGAAACTCCTCCTGCCTTAAGGCATCCTCCACCCCAGTGGCCCTCTTCTTTTCTGGCTTCTATAGGAAATATACAAATCTGAAGAGTCAGTGCTAGTATCTATTATAAAGGAGAACATGGACTATTCTTTTTTTCTGTGCCTGGGCTACCCCATAATTGTTTCCAGTTCTTCCATTTACTTGCAGATTTCATTATTTTTCTCTATAGCTGAATAAAAAATTGTGTATATGTATCACCAATTGTTAATGTGAATAATCCAGGGATTCCATTTCCTAACTGTTGTGACTAGAACAGCATGAACAGGCTGAGCAACATCTCTGTAGTAAGATATAGAATCCTTTGGGAATATGCTCAGGAGTAGTATTGTTGGTTCAAATGACAGATCTATTTCTAGCTTTTTGAGGAACCTTCACATTGATTTCCGTAGTGGTTGTATCAGCTTACACCGCCACCAAGAGTAAATAAATATTCCTCTTTGCCCACATCTTTGCCAGCATTTGTTGTCATTTCATTTCTTTCTTATTTTTTCATTTCATTCCTTTTCAAAAATATTATTTGTGTATGTAACTTGTATACTTGTGGGGGTTTTTGTGCACCATGTATACAGAAGCCAGTGGAAGCCAGAAGAAATCATTGTATCCCCTGGAACTGGAGTTAGAGGTGGTTGCTACTTACCATAGGGGTGCTGGGATCTGAACCTGGGTCCTCTACAAGAGCAGCAAGTGGTTTTAACTGCTGAGCCATTTTTATAATCCCTCATTTCTTGATGGTAGCCATTCTGACTGAGGCGAGATGGAATCTCAAAATAATTTTAATTTGCATTTCCCTGATGGTTAACAAAGTTGAACACTTAAAAAAATGTTTAGTAGTCATGTGTATTTCTTCTTTTTGAGGATTCTCTGTCTAGATTGTTCTAGTTTCATCTCCATTGCTATGGTAAAACACTCTAAAAGCAACAAAGGAAAAAGGCTTCATTGCCCTGTATTGGTTACATTCCATCATTGAGGGAAGTCAGAGCAGGAACTCAAGAAGTGACTTGAAGCAAAAACCATGGAGGATGCTGCTTTTCATGTTTAGCTAGCCTTTTTATACAACTAAGGACCACCAGCCTAGGGGTGGTGTTGCCCTCGGTGGTCCTCCTATACCAATTAACAGGACAATTCTCTATAGGCAGTGCGATCTGGGAAATCCCTTGAGACTCCTTTTTAGGTGATTCTAGGCCCTATCAAGTTGACAGTTAAAGCTAACCAGGATGCAGATCCATAGCCCATTTTTTGATTCAGTTATTTTCTTGGATGTTTGATTTTTGAATTCATACTAATTCTCTGTAGGAATGTATAGCTAGAAAAGATTTTTCTCCAATGCTGTGGGCTTTCTTTTGCAATCCGCAAGCTATTTAATATCATGAGGTTCCATTTGTTGGCCTTGTTTCCTGAGTACTGGAGTCCTGTTTAAGAAGTCCTTACCTGTGCCTATATATTCTAGAATATTCCTTTTCTTTTCATCTAGCAATTTCCTAGTTTCTCATTTTATCTTGAGGTCTTTGATCCATTTGGAATTGATTATTTTTTAGGGAGAGATAGAGGGATTTAGGTTCTCTCTTCAGTGAAAGGTGTTGAATACATACACTCGTGACTACTCAAGGTGCTATGAATAAGTTGACATTTAAGTCTCAGCAGGACATTAATTAACAGGACATTAATTTTACCCTCTCCAAGGCTCAGAGAAAATCACAGAAGAGTAGGTGGAAAGAATATAAGAGCTATAAGATAGGGAGAAGTGAAATGCCATTTTCTGGACCTGATAGAACCGATGCAATCATGATCTCACAGTTAGTGGTGGCCCTGCAGTGGGCCTGCACAATGGTCTGGGCTTGCCAACAGTCAGTCATGGGCCAGGAAGGGGCTCACAGGATCCTGTTCCCTGCCCCCTAAAATATTGTTTATTGCTGGATTTGGAAGGAAGGGAAGACACTTAAAAATGTTTAGTAGTCATGTGTATTTCTTCTTTTTGTCTTCAGTTGGGTAACCACTGATGAGCCCACCAGGCTCCAATGGATAGTTCTAAACCCCCGGCTACACAAACAGTCCTGGTTAAACTCAGCAAGTCACAAAATGAAACAAAAAGACATGAATGGGGAAGGGGACTTACAGGGAAGAGGACTGATGGAGGTTCAGAGATGGTGAAGGATGACAGCAATGAGAACTCGGTTTATTCATGTATCATATTGTCAAAGAACCAATTTAATAAAAACTATTAAAATATTTTTTGTCATCTTCCCTCCCATTCAACAGAATGTTGACCTGTCTAATTTTCTAAAAGAGTAAGTGTATTAAATGGGCTTCATCTTCATTAAAATGAAAATTTATATTCTTTCATCCCATAACTAATATCAAAAGGATATGGATTATTTTGATAGTATCTTAAGAATGTAACATCTTATTTTAAATAATTATCAGTAATTACTACTTGAAGCCATTTAAAATAATGTATACTTTTTAAAATCTAGGTTGGATGGACAATGGCCTGATGGCTTATTGGCTTCAGACAATACTCTTCATTTTGTCCATCCACTGACCTTCAATTATTCTGGTGTTTATGTCTGTAAAGTGACAAATTCCCTTGGTCAAAGAAGTGACCAAAAGCTCATCTACATTTCAGGTAAGCTACTACCTACTTCCAAGCTGGGTTACTTAAAATATTCCTATAACAATTACAATACACTACTATGCAGTAATTTAAAGTAACCCCATCTGAAATATGTACGTAAAGTGGCAATGCCAAAATGTATATACAATGAATTTTTTAAAATTTCTTTTACTGGTAACATGCTTTTCTAAATTCTTGAACAGTGTTTTTTCTTCTCCTTGATTGGCTGCTCTGCATATAGTTGTTTGATAACGTGGGATATTAACTTTGTTAAACTGGTTTATTAAATAACATTGCTTGCCATTGAAGATGGGACTGCCGTTCTAGGTACTGAGAAGTGAAGCAGGAATGTACTGAAAGTTTTGATGAAGCAAAATTTAATGTTTTTATTGTCAGTTCTTAAGCCCTTAGGAATATTGACTTTTTCTCATACTTGTTTTACTATGAATGTTTTGTTAATTTGGTTCAGTATAAATTTGGACATTTACAAAATGTAAGTTCAAAACCTATATTTTAAAAAATAGGTATAAATGATCAATGAAGTACCCATTTAAAATATATAAAATATTGTGAGTGGTTTTTAATGACTGGAAGGATATAACAGCCTTCCTGTCCAGCAAATGGAAAATGAAGGTGAGAGAAAGAGCACTTGCAATGAGGTTTGTATTATGTCATGGTTATTAAGGTTTCCGATCTCTTCAGATGTGAGACTACATTGTAAATTTTAGAAAGACTTCATACTTGCTTAACTGTTATATTTCAGTGCTTATGTGATCCCTCATTTTTGTTCATAATACTGGCTACAATATACTTAGATGGTCATCTATATACTTATCTGTCCTTGGAATTAGAAGCGTGTGCTTGTTTTGTTCACCACTGCGTATTCAACAGTGAACTCACTACTCAGCACACAATAGAGACTGTTGTTTTCTTTTTGTGTAATACTTCCAGAAGACTGAACACTATATATCCCTAGCTCTTTATGCTACTAACAGTACTTTGGTGGAAAGTTGATTAAAGTATACAGGTCTCTTCCTCTAAAAGACTAGCCAAAGTCAATATGTATTTAAAATTTAATTTCCCAAAGACTTTTGCCTTTTGTTCCTGCTGTACAGTTTCATGTGGAATATAGTAAATCTTAGCTCAGTATGTCATAGTTATGTCATCTTTATATATCAAGGTTCAATTTGGGCTTTCTTACATATACTAATTTCATTTGGTGATATCTATCTCAAATTTATACCCTTTGCCATTCCCTGTCTTTGTTGTTTTTTGTTTTTTTTTTAGTATTCCTGACCTGTTTTTCTAACTGCCTATTTGTGCTCATTAACTATATGTAGAATTTAAATACACATTAAAGCTTCCCTGGTTCAAAATTGAGATTCATCCTGACCGTTCTCCTGCCTCTGACATCAACCCTGTTTCTCTGTCAGCCTATCCACTCAGTTATTTGTGATTCTATCCTTATGTTCAAGGGACAGCTATTTGTAGCAACCATCATTTCACTTTTTCTCTAATATTTTTCCCAGTTCATCAGCAAACCAGTATCAGCTCTCCCATATGTTATACGGAATGTTACTTACCCTGCACCTTTTCCGTTGCTACTACTTTGATCTAAGCAATCAGAACTCTTCCTTCACTATGATAATAGCCATCCATTTTCCACATTGAATCTGTCACCATTCAGTCTTTAATCAAAAGAGCAGTCAGTTGTCCTTTTAAAGAGTGCACTATATCACGTCACTCCTTTCCTTAAAACCTTCTTTGAACTTCCATTTATCATAGTAAAAAGCAAATCTTTATGGTGAGTAGGTGCTGTGCATGCTCTCTTTGACATTGTCATCTATGTCTCTTGCTCACTGGCTCAGCCACACTGGCCTCCTTTTTCTTTGAACACAACAGGTATGCTTTTACCTCAGAGTCTGTGTTTGCTCTGTCTGCTGCCTGGAGTGATTGCCACAAGGTTTCTTTATAGCTCTTCCCCTCACTCCCTTTAAGTCTTTTCCAAAATGTCACCTTTTCCAGTGAAGTCTGTCTTTTTTCGATGACTATTTTAAAAATTGAAAATCCTCTCCTCACCCTTTTACTGATGTCTTTCCTCCTTTACCATATTTTTCTCTTTCTCTATAGTATTTGTCGTCAGTGTGGCATATTACATTTTTTAATAGGCTTGTCTATTTTTGCCCTCAGTAGAAGTTAACACAGGGCAGGAATTTTTGTCTGCTTTAATAACGGCTATATTCCTGCCATCTACAGTGACCTGTGGCATATGATAAGAACTCAGTACATATTAATTGTATGAATGAAAAATATTTAGTTTTAGGAAAGAAGTAACTTCAATTTTTTTGTTAATGGAACTAATGACTATACTCTTTTAAAATCTCAAAATCATTGGGTGTGGTGGCCCACGCCTTTGATACCAGCACTTGGGAGGGAGGCAGAGGCAGCCTGATCTCTGTGAGATCTAGACCAGTCTGGTCTACATAGTGAAATTCAGGCCAGCTGGGGCTACAGGGAGACCTTGTCTCAAAAAATCAAAAACAAAACAAAGCAGAAAAACAGTGTATCAAGTGTTATAAAATGGTGAAACAAATTTGAGTAAATATGAAAAATCATTTAATTTCGTCCAAGTACTTCTGAAATACTTGAGATATACTGTTATCAAGTGATCAAGAATTAGAATTTGCCTTTCCATCCAGATTCTGTAATACTGGGGGATACTATGGCAAATTTAGTTAGCTTCTTTAAGAACTTCTTGTGCTGCACTAAGTATCCTAAATATGATGTTACAAAGGCTGTGTTTAGTCAACCTGATTTTTATCAGGATAAGAGGCTGTAATTGACACAGTAAATTTCACATCAGTGTTAAATTGACATTTAAAAATTTTAGAAATAGCTTTGAAAAATATGTACAAAAAATGTACCTTATGACAAGTCTAAAAGTTTTATTTGGAAAAATAGGGTGTTAGAAGCTCTGAGTGAAATAGTTTTTAATTTCCTTGCATGTTTTCCCACATCGGTAAGCTTCAGGTTTGGGACAAAAGGTCACTCACTGGCTGTTGATGTGCTGTTCAGCTTCAGTTGCTGCACTGCACTCCGGCACAGTGTCAGCCTCATGACTCTCCAGTGGCTCTTTATCCAGGACTAACTGACTGCTGGAATTGTGTTTGTCTGGCTTGTTTTTTGCTTAATACTTTTCCTTAACTGATACGTTACTTCTCTGAAAAATAGAACATATTTTGACATTTCAGATCAGTATACCATGTCTAATATTCTAAATCCTCTACAAAGTTGAATTTCAGATTATTAATTTTAGGATTCATAAATAAATTCAAGGATCCACAGTTAGCAATTTTTAACTTTAAGATATATGATTTTGTTTATTTAAGCGACCTATATATAGTCTAAAGAAATAAAAGTCAAGGCTGGAGAGATGACTTAGTAGTTAAAAACTCAAGGGCTGCTCTTGCAGAATACCTGCATTCCGTTCCCAGGACCCATGTGGTAACTAACAACCTTAAGCCATTCTGGTTCCAGGTGATCTGGTGCCCTCTTCTGGCCTCCGAGGGCATTGCTTGCACGTGGTACACTTAGATACATTCAGGCAAAAGACTCATACACAGAAAAATAAAAGTAAGTTTAAAAAAGAAAACTAGCATACTTAATTTTTTTAACAGGGTAAACAATTGGATAAACTATGCCTTGTAGTTACAAGGACCTTTCTGGATGGACTGTTTGTTTTCCCATTTGGCAGAAGTAATTACTTAGCAAAACAGAATTAAAATTAGTCATTTGGGGTGAAATATAAGAGTCTCCTGTAATTTATTAGATTTTTTATTATCTTCTCATTTATTACATATTCAGCAAAGAATATAAGAATGTCTGAAAAAATAAGGACTGATGTTGTGATTTTAAATCAATATAGATAAATAGCTATTGGTGATTGTTAAAGCCTTGCCTTCATACATATACCTTGACTCAGTCTAAATTTTTTGAAGTATGCGTTGTCATTTGCCCATTGCTTAATATATAAAATGAAGTGTTAGCTCCTTATGGCATGATATTAAGAAGATGGCCATGCTACTTTTAACACTGGTTAAGGAGGAGGAGAATGAATTGAAATTTTTTTCAGGGCTGCTAATAAAGCTAGATATCATAAGTTTTAATTTTTTGTTAGATTTTTCTGAAATTGTATTTTTTTTAAAGCGAGTAGATGAAAAATAGGAATACATTTGTATTCATATAAGAAGTTTTCAAGTAGAAATTTAAAATGCCAATTCTTTTTTAAGGATACATTATAAAACTATTTTTGTATTTTTTACTTGATAGGAGCACAGGTATATGCATTGCTCTAAGAAAACAAGCATATTAAGAGCTACCCAAAACCTTAAAGTCTTTGTATATACAAATGCATAAATTATAGTTCATTTAGGTCCTTTCATATAAACATACGCCTCCATTTTTCTTTTGGAATTCTCTACTCCCTTCTAAAAAATACACAGCTTGTCCTATAGGGAATCTAAGTTTTTGTCTCTTTGTTCAATGTCTGGGTTCTGTGAAGCTGAATTACATGCAGCCTTACTACTTTTAGAGTCCTTCAATTTCACAGTTGTTTTCTTCAGAATGAATTTGCTCAGCTAGTGATTTTTTTTTCTCCTGAATTAAAACTCTTCCTCAATTCACATACATACGACACTTCAAAGCACCTCACAGGATTACCTATAATGCTAGCTTAAAATCATAGGAAATTAGTTATACTGTATTTGTTAAGTTTTTTTAATGTACTTGCTAAATTTTTACCATATTCTATACATATGGCATTCCGTGATGAAACCTGTTTCAGTAAGTATTTTTCTTTAGCTTGTAATATTAGAATAACTTACCCCATGTAGATTTAGTATTTTTCTAACAATCATTTTTTAAAAGCTCTGTCAGAACTACTCATTTAAAAATTAATTATAGGAAATTACCATTCAGGTCATTTATTTTTATCTATGAAAAACTCAAAAGTT